AATGAACTAGGAAACCTTTATGCTCAGGAATGTATGATTTTTAAATAATTCAGATCAATGTTTGTTACAAGATAACTTATAAATATATCATGAGACAATTACTTGGATTGCCTTGCACTACATCAGTAACACGTGCATTTTGGTGATTCTAAAATTTGAAATAAATCAGATAAAAATTTCGGAAACGTACACACTAAAAGTTTTTATAGGCTGTAATCTGGATTGTTTTCAGTATCTGTTTGGACAATTAAACATAGTTTACAATAAAAATATTTTCTCATTGCACAATTTCTTTAATTGACACCTTGCCATTGAAACTGACGCTTTAAAGCGTCCAAGAATGTTACGGTGATATTATTAAGTGTTTGTTACGTGAGTCAAAATTGTACTACATTTAATTATTCTATTAAGAGTACTTAGATAAATAAAAGTGGCTATATACTGTACGATTGTATAGCTGATTTACTTTCCCATGTCTATGTTTTTTCTATTTTGACTTACTTGTTTAATGCATAAACACAAATTCCATATTTGTATACAGGGTGTTAAAAAAAGAGTGTAAAATATTTCATGAGGTAATAGTATGAACCAAAATAAGCAGAAAAGTCTTAATAAACATGGGTCCACAAAGTAACGGTTGTGGAGATATGGACCACTATTAGTTTTTCAAACATTTTATTTTATTAGGAATAAACCGACAAAGGAAGCTTTTAACAAACAAAAAACAAAGTTACAGAAGATGTTCAAAGTGCCCTCCGTCCATTTCCAAGCAGGAACGACATCTTCGTCTCAACGATATTCGAACTCTTTCGAAAACACCCTCCTTGGTTTGGATATCTTGACACTTTTGATTAATCCGTAGCTGCAGCTCTTCCAGGCTATTTACAGGAGTACCATACACTAATGTCTTCAAATATCCCAAACAAAGAAATCTAGAGGGTTCAGATCAGGCGATCTTGGAGGCCATAAAACAGGTCCGGCCCTTCCTACCCATCTATGTGGAAAAGTTTGGTGTAAATGCTCTCTAACGGCCATGGAAAAATAAGCTGGAGCACCATCATGCTGGAACCACATTTGTTGCCTCTGATTCAAAGGAATATCTTCCAAAAACTCATACAGTGTGTTCTGCAGAAAGTTGAGGTAAGCAGCGCCTGTTAATCGGTTTGGTAAAACAACAGGACCTAGAAACCTGTCACCTACAATACCCATCCAAATGTTTAATGAAAAACGTGCCTGATGTCTAGATTCTATTAGAGCATGAGGATTTTCGTCGGCCCAAATATGCGTATTGTGAAAATTAAACACTCCATTTCTTGTGAACCCGGCCTCATCAGTAAACAGAATGTTTGCAAGAAAACGAGGGTCTTCAGCATCATGACGCGGCAAAAAACCAAACGTGCTTGATGATCATTTATTGGATTTAAGGCCTGTACTCGTTGCACATGGTATGGATAAAGCAGTTGCTCGTGAAGGATTCTCCAAACAAGAGGACCACTAATTCCTACCTCGGCTGATATTCTCCGCACACCTGGATTCTGCTAGAATTTTTTTCTTGTGCTCTAGGAGTGGATACCGACCTTGGTCTTCCGGATAAATGGCACTGTTTGCTCAAGGAACCGGTATCACGCAATCTTTGGTGAATTCTTCCAAACATGCGTTGTGAAGGAATCTGGCGATTTGGATAAGCGTCAACATAAAGACGTCGCGCTTCGGTGGCGTTCCCATTAGCACGACCATACATGAAATGCATGTCTGTTAATTCTGCGTTAGAGTAACCAGCCATAGCGAAAGAAAACTTGAGCACTGAGAACAACTGTCAAATACGTACTGTTTATTTCACTAAACATCAATCAAGAAAATACACAACGTTTTTGCAAAATAAAAAAGGGACTAAAAAACATCAAACATTCCGTATCTCCGCAACCGTTACTTTGCGGACCCATGTTTATTGAGACTTTTCTGTTTATTTTGGTTCATACTATTACCTCCTTAAATATTTTACACTCTTTTTTTAACACCCTGTATACAACCTTAATATTGTTTAGGTATGTCACCCTTGAAATTAACTGTTTGCTAAACGGTTGTTCCTGTACTCTTAAGTACATTGTTTAATGATAAATGATAAATTTGTCCTTCTAGTAATCCAAGTACCCAATTTATCAAGTCGCAAGCTAACTTCTTAATGAGCCTCAACCTTAACCTTTTAGTCACGGTTCGATTCTGCTGATGAGACGCGAAATCTAATTATACAGGGTGTTCTGATAGAATTTCAAAAAATATTACCAATTGTTCCTATGAACCATGGGCGTATCTTTTTCCGTTTTCAAAATTAAAAATAATTTTTTAGAATCTAGTTTAGGTCCTATCTTCCATAAAATTAGACCGAATGAAATGTGGGGTTTGTGGGGATGTCAAATGCTCTGGAGTTATTAATTTTTGGCTATATCATACAGGGTGTTCAGTGCAGTACTCCGCGAGAACGTTTTAGGTCCTAACTTTTTTGAGATTAATCTTTTTGTCCCTTTTGTCACTTGTCATTTTATTTTGAACCAAAAAGGTGCTCTTATAAGAAATGCTAAAATTTACCGTTTTCGAGAAACACCAGGCATAGTCAATCAGCTAGTATCCCAAATTGTTGTTTTTTATTTCAAGTAGACTTGTGTCAAATGTGTCAAATGAACGAGTTATGTGCATTATCAGAACAAGTATTTATTTTAATTCGTGTAATAAAAAATTTCTACTTGCTACGGTAATAATTATTCAAACTCAGAATATACCGATATGTTGTTAACTTTAGGCGAATGTTTAGGGAACAGTTTTTCTGCTGTAAGGCGATATTCGGAAAAATTTCCTGGTCGCAGATTACCAAATAGAAATACATTTTTTTTGTTGCAGCAACTATTGTGAATGTTATAAACTTATTTGTAGAACTAGTTTAGTCTTACTCTTAGTATTAGTTTTTTCCAAACGGGCCGCTTTCAGCGACAAATACTTAGAGCATCTTTTGTACGTAAAATTGAATGGAGAATAGGTATGTTTAGTCAAAAATGACTTACAGTGCAGTGACAAAAAATGTGTCACCCTCGAACATTAAACAAAAAACTAAGTAGTTTCTCATCATCACTACTCCCAGTTTCTAGAATTTCGTCAAATTGCCATATTATTGAACAAATATATAATGAAAATATCAAACATAAATTTTTTTTGGACCCTCTGTATATCAAGAATCAAGCCGCTGCGGAACCATGTCCATATGAACTTTTTATCTTAGTCAAAGATTCACCTTTTAAAGTTTGTACAAGTACTTAATAAATACCCTGTATATATGTTTATTAAATTTAGAAAAAAAACTATAATATCCTCAGTTTAATTGATTTAATTACACTGATAGTAATTAACAGAATTGGAGTTATTAATAAATTAGCCTGAACAAACATCAAAATTAATTTTACCTCTAATCGTAGACGCCAATTTCAAAGTTATAACTAATAAAAGAGATTGTAACGGAAATCAAAAAACAAAGTGTTCAGAAAGATGGACTACAGTTTCATTCAAGTAGACATTTGCTGTTTTGTCTGTCGGGATATACAAAACTTTGGGAAGAAATGTATTTTTTCTTGCACAGAAAAACATAATTTTCAATAAAAAATTATATCTTTTTCATAACTGAGAAATAAACCTATAATTAAAAAAAGTATCAATTCAAGAATGTGCCTACCCCTGTTAAATATTATCAAAAAAATGTGAATAAATCTCAAAATATATTTAACATTCGAAGGAAAAATATTGTTATTCTTTAGAAATAAATAAACCAGTACTTCTAAAATAGATGATGCAAAACGAAAATTAATAATTAATATTCATCGTTTGGCTATTAAAAGTTATTTCAAAAATTAGGTGACATCATCTCTATAAAACCAAAAGTTGACAGCGCAATACGGTATTAGAATGCAAAAATATTTCGTATGTCGTAAACCCCATTAATTTAAGACTAATATGATAATTTTAAAATTAATTCAAGGACCTTATACAATTAAATATAGTGAATGCCGATTATCAGACAATAATGGGCTATAGATACTATTTTTATTATTGAGTCAATCGTACTTGACATTCCGGAAATTATTCGATTTTTATTTTCATTACAACGAAACTTCCAAAATACATTATCGTTCGTATCATTATTATTTGTATTCAGTTAAACCATTTGCTGCTTTTATAGGTTTCTACAGCGCATTCTATATCATTCCTCTCAATTTTGTCGAGCTTTCTCTACATCAATCTGTCTAGCCATGAAATATATTTACTTTTTCCTTTATAGTGCCTTTTTTCTAAAGACTTCCAACTCTCACATTTTTGCTTTATGTATTTGTATTAAGGTTATTTGCAGTACAGCAACTTGTTTCTTATTGACAAATGTTAAAAAAATTGTTAATGCACTTGCTGCAGCATAAAAAAGAGTTGAACCTAATTTTATTTATATTTGTGAAAATCTTAAATTATGCAATAAATTTGATGATGTACAAGTATATCAATTTTCATCACTAAAGGAAACATCAACTACGTACAAACCTAACCAAATATATCGACATTTTTTTACAATCAAAACAAACAATAGCACTTTCACCAGAAATTTTGCAATCGTTTGTTTTGATAAACACGCTTACACAATGGAATTTGCTTAACTAATTGTTATATCATAGAATTGCTCCATATTTTTATTAAAACAAAACTGACAGGATTAAGCATGTATAAGTAAAAAATTATGCAACGTGTTCATCCACTATATATCAACAAAATTCTACAACACAAGCCATGATCATGTTTTTTTTTATTCTCATCTGAGGACGAAGGTAAAAATTGAATTGATTTGGGTAAAAAATGAAGTTTCTGTCAGTTTTTCGAAAAAAAACACAAAACTTTGAAAATGAACCGTTCCAATTTAGCAGCCACAATAAAATAAATAAAGCTGTTGAAATCGTCACAAAAATAACACATACCTTTACTAAATTGGCTAACACTTAAATTATCAAAACTACACATAAAATTGACACAGACTACAGGTAAGAAATGATACTGTGAAATCTAGTAAAAATCACTGTTCTTGAATATTGGTCCCGAGTGTTTTCCAAAACGAAACTGAATTGAAATGAATGAAAATACGAGTTTCTACGAGATAATTTTTTGAAAATATCTGTGACTCAGATTGTTTCCTCGAATACATTTTGTAGGACCGTCCACAAACTTTTTATATAACACCTACCGGTGCAATTGGCAACGACAAAAAGATTATTTTTAAGTCTTACCTACCAGAAATAAACGAAATGTCACATCTAAATTTAATATTATAGATACGTCGGCAATAATTAATTTTTTGTCACGCATTATGCAATGATTTGTGTGTGTGAGTGTGCGCGTAACGTTCGTATTAATAGAAAATCAAGCTGGCAGTGGATACATCGAATTCATTCAAAAATCACATATACACTTTACATAACTATAAATCGTTTTATGGTGTTTTCAGGTTGTTAAATGACGAATAGGTATTAAAAATATATTACAGACATGTTTCAAATGAAAGCTTAGATGAGATGCTTCTTTAAAATTATTATTATTCAAGCTTGAGAGTCACAGCATCAGAAAATGAGATTCGAGAAAAAAATTGAAGTGTTGGAATCAAAGGAGGTGTAAAGATAAAGAAGCTGAGGCGAGAACAGAAAAAAATTATGTTGCCTCTGACATTAAATTTTCATTTATAAGTAAATAATAAAGCAGAATCCTTTCCTGTTAAATTTTAGTTAAAATATCTTCTGCGAAAACTAATAGCCTTTAAATCCGTACGATATTTGTTGAGATAGAACACATTTTAATCCAAAAAATCTACTTTATATATATTTACCTTATATATATATTTTAATATTCTGAAAATAACGCGGAAAATTTCAAGGCGCGCCGCTGTTGCAGTAAATTGCTGCAGTAGTTCCGATAACACAACTTTATTGGCTCTCAACAAATATCGTACGGACTGTACTCCGTTATAGGTGAAATAAAAACTGATCTTTGAAAAATCTGTCCAAAATTTTGATAAACGTTAACAGTCTTCTGCAAAATCAAAAATATTTATGTGGAGGTATAAATTGTACATAGCCCTTGTTTCTGCGGTCTAAGTATCCAGCATGAGCAGTTCCAATGAATATATTGCATATATCAATCCATAGTATGCATACATCAGTTTCAAAAAGTAAAATGTAAACTGATTTACATTTGTGGTTTAACCACAGACAGTTACTAAGGATAGTGGCTGTTTTCAATCACACACAGACAATTTACCAGTTCGTAACTTTTGTATCAGTAACTGATATGCCAAGTAATGTGATCATTTTATTGAATACAAAGTTGGTCTTCTGTATCTTCAAATTTTGATAGATGATATACTCAATATATGAAACATCTAAAAATATCATCTTGAGAACATCTGTTATCGATTAAAAAGACGAAAATTATACATAATTAGCTACAGGATATCATCACGGTGACGTTTTTCCCCTATTTTTTAACCAGAGCCATCAAGGGGACAACAAATCAGAACCTGTTTTTTCTCAAGTTCTGTCCAATACATCGTCTACACCATTAGCTTTATGTGATGCTAGACCTTTCAAAAAGTTAATTAATTTTACGTCTCCGTTGATTTTTTACAGCAAATACTGCATTCTTCCTCTATCGCATCATTTATGATGTTTTCTAGACTTACACAAATCTAACGAGTTGTAAAGATCAACACACCATTTAATCCATCTTAGTGGTAATTTAAGTTGGCCTTCACTGGACTTTACTTCAATTGATAACTTTTATTGCAGTTATTGCGATAACTAACTTATTTCCACTAGCTGTAATTACCAAACACGTTTGCTTATTTATGAGATTCCAGCACTTATTGTTAGATATGTGGGTAAAACTAAGAGTGATCTATTTTATTCATCATATTGTCGCCCCCATCATATTCCAAGAGTTTTGATAGTTTTCTAATTAAAATAGAAACCCAAAATGTTGCCGTGATGATTTGGTATTGTTACATCCCACTATTTTTTTTTAGCAGTTGCGAGTTCTGAGTTTTCTAAGGGACATGCTTTTATGATCAAAGGCTAAAGTGTAATAAAATAAATTTTTCATGTCCATTTAATATTTTCCTTTATTGTTTGCCTAATTAAAATTAATATGTTCTACTGTCCTTTAATTACATTAATTTCCTTTCATCTGCAACATTATGCTATCATAAATATTTCTATTGATAACGAATAATGTAAAACAATAATCCGACTTACCATAAATAATCAATTACACATTTTCTGCATTCCTCGCTATTTATATGCATGAGCTATATTTCACTTCACTCTTTAAGTATCCAAAATAATTTATTCGAGCTCCTAAGTGGAGCATGTAAAAATTTAGATTTATTTTAATTACATTAGGTATGCGTTATTGAATATCTGCCACAAAAACATTTCAAGACTTGTTCATTCAAACCGTTCCACATCATCGATATATTTTTGTAAATAATAACGTATCCATGTGAACTTTGCGTAGTATTATTACTGTTATGTACAGGGTGGTCCTTTTATTATAGGGAACGTGCTTCATTCAATATTGTTGAAAATATCTTACAATGTCGTTATCTATTCTAAAAAATTAGTTTGCAATTTTATTTTTTCAAAACATACAGGGTGTTGCAAAATGTTGTTCAGAGAATTCTACAGCAGATTCTACATCCAAAAATGCGAAAAAAATCCGCAAATGCTTCGTTTTCGAAATAGAGGGTGGCAAAAGAAATTAAAGAAATATGGTTTTTTATCGATAATTTCTAAGTTTTTTGATTGGAAATAGTTTAGATTTGAATCAATACATTTATGATACATAGGTTATAATTTGGTATAACCGATTACATTTTAGACCCATCAGGGGCGTAGATATCGGAGAGTACCTATTGATTTTAGAGCAGAAAATTTACGCCACTGGTTTTTCTACTGGTTTTTACTTTAATTTTAGGAACCTCATTTATTTTAGAACAGAAACGCCCCCTTGCACATTTATCATTTAGCAAGTGGCTTTCGAGATATTGAAGATTTTTAAAAATCATGCTAATCTATCCATGCTACATTACCTACTAAAAAAACATAGTTGGTGACTGTCAATGAAATATAACATGCGCTGTCACTATGAACCAATTATAACCTACGTATCATAAATGTATTGGCCCAAATTTAAACGATTTCCAATGAAAATTTTTTTTCATTTTTGGATGTAGAATCTGCTCTAGAATTCTATGAACAACATTTTGCAACAGCCTGTATTATCAGCACAAGAAAATGAAAGCTATCTGTTAAGGAAATCTTAATGAAATGCCATGAATTAAAACTGCAAATAACAACCTAAATAAATAAATAAATAAATAAATAAATATAGAAGTTAATCCTAAATCATACAATCCTAGATAATACGTATCTTATCTATCACCTACATCTGCCAAAAATTTAGTAGAAAAGAAGGCAATGTAGCAATATGTAGATTTAGAAGGTTGGAAGATTTTGTCTAAACAAAGTTTTTGAAATAGATGAATGTACATGATAATTCATAAAATTTATTTTTATTGCATTTACAAAGTGTTGAGGCAGATGAAGGATAAAAAGAATAAAATATAGAAATGTGTAGGTACCATGCAGTTTTAGCTTTCATATGCAGTTATTTTGAATAAGTTCGAGAATTTACATCAGGTACGTCGATATCTCTTTATACTCACTTATAATACTGTTTATTGTTGATTAACATCACTTTTATTTTTAAATGCTGGCTACAAATTATTTAAGTGGACCGACAAACGGTAACAAATGTGCTACAATGTTAATGATTTAAGAATTGGCAAATTATGTTCAATAAATGACATGCAACATTTTATAGTTAAGCCTATTTTTATTCCCTGACTTCAATTTTGTTTTCCTACTATCGTAAATATACAATATCAAGGTAAGCCATGCTAATCGGTAATAAATTCCATTTTGCAATTTTGAAATTTGATGTCTGTACTTTAATATACGCCTTATATGGATAGAAACAATGCTTAGAACTGAATACAACTTATAATTATTTCTTAAACATTGTTTATGTTTTTATTTACTCGTCTGGGTATCTTGCCAGAATTTTAATTTATACGTGTACATTTAAAAGTATATTTGAGTCATTTCCTCAATAAATAAGCTTAGAATTCTTGCCATTTTATCGCCGTAGATCCTTTTAATAATGTTCCAGAAAATAGGTCACATAAATGACGAGAAATATCGAATAAACATTTTCAGTATTGTTGCCAGAAAACATAAATGCATATACCTGTAGATATCAACAATGTCGAATGCTAAATTAGTTTAACAGAGCAAGCCTTGCACAATTTGCGAATCATCTACCTATTAGGCTTCATATTACAGAGAGTGTTATTACAAACTAAAGTATATTAAGGAATTGCTTAATTGATATATAATTACATGGGAAAATATACCCTCTTTTATACATATACCACTGTTAATGGAACAAATTAATTTAATAAAATTCATGGGGGCACATAGAATGTAGATACAGCTATTTATTGTTTTAGACAATTGTGGAAATGTATGACAAAAACAGGCAATAGGTCAAAACTTCAGACTGGAAAAAAATATGTATAAAGCACTTTTTTATATTTTGAAAGCGAGGCAAATTTTACAGGGTAATCAGTTATTAATCGAGCATACACGTCACTATATAATAGATTCCACAATGAAAATTACGGGGGGTAGTTCAAACAAAATTTTGTCAAAAAAATAGTGTTGAAGTTGAAAAAAATTATTAAGCAATTCTTTTTAATGTGACGTGGAAAGTACTAATCTGTACCATTCGGTACTTCATTTTATGGATCACTTTATAAAAAAAGATTACATCACTTTGTATAGCAGTAATAATGGTATATCTAAAATTTTCAATTATTTTTAAGAATAGAAGGGATACTTGCTGCATATAGTTAAAATGTGTAATTCCTGAGAAAAATGATTTTCAATTTTCTACTAGTCTATAGTAGATGTTCTAGACCAATTAAACTTATATTTTTTTTGCTAAATCTGTAAATAAATTAACCTTTTTATGATTTTAACCGACTTATGTCTTTGGAAAAGTCAGTGT